TGGATTCACCCACAGCGGGGCGGCGGCGGCGGCGGCTGCGGCCCAGTATAGGTAACGGCTCCCGCCCGTCCTCTGCCTCCTCGTCCCCTGCGCGCGCCGTCGCCGTCGCCCGGGCTGGTGGAGGCGGGGATGCCGGCCTCGGGTGGGGAGGGCGGCGGCGGCAGCGGCTCGTGCCTCCCCTTTCTTCTTCGGGACTTGGGGTTCGTAGCCCTTTGTGGGGCCGGGGCCCCGGCGGCCGGGTGGGGTGGGGGCGGCGGCGCTGACGTCGCGGCGCCCCCCGCTCGGCTCCCCGCGTCTCGACCGGGCGGAGCGAACTTGTTTTCGCGGCTGTTGGTTTTGGAGCGGGCAACTCCCTGCCCCGAGGTCCGGAGACCGCGGCACCGAGACCGAGCGGGGTTCGCGGTGCGAGGCCGGTCCCGTGTGTGGGACCCACTTGGGGTGTCGGTTGCTGCATCTTAAACATCCACGCCTCGCCCGGTGCGCTGGGAGGCTGGCCGAGGTCTTGTCCCCCGCGCCCCTCACTTTGCACCGGCCGCGGAGCCCGGCTCTCCGGGGACCTTCGGGGGGCGAGGACCGGCGCGCCCATTCCTGTTCGGGCGAGTTCGCGCGTCTGCTCGCCGGCCCGCAGAAGGGGCCGTGTTTACGGAGTCTTACGACCTCCTCTGTTGGGATGGGCAACGAACACCCGAGGGCGAGAACCCGCTCCGGGAGCCGGCCAGGGGTCCTGCCCCACGGCACGTTTTGGACGACCACGTGAAAGGGCCAGGACCCCACCTGAATGCAGAGGACGCAGCAGCCTGCCCTGTTGATTGGAAGACAAAGGAACTGGGGGGCGGAGGGGAGGTGAGCATAAAATTGTGAGTTCAACTCGGAAAAGGGACCGACATGACGAGTCAGACGGTGGTGGGGAGCACCCGGAAACCGAGGTGATTTCCCAGGCCGGGAAATCAGGTGGCTGTTAAGGTGCAGAAGAGAAATGATAGGGACGGACGTTCACCACCAAGACCCTGGACCTTGGGACGACTTCTGCAGCCTCGGCTGTAAGGCTGTGCGCGAGCGATAGCGTTTTTTGTAGTGTAGTACAGTGTGGTGCAGGATTCGAATAGTCGTTTACACTCGCTGTTATTTTTAAATGGCCGCAGTATCTTTCCTGACTGGGGCCTGCCCAGAAGTGATAACAAATGGAGCTGCTTTAACAAACCTGTAAGATTGGCTTTTTAAAAAAAACAGGCCTAGGACTTGGCCTTGAAACATCCTTACTACCTGCTTCCTGATTGGGCATTTGCAGATGCCGCTTTTAGCCAGAATTGGAATGTTACCTGATGCCAGTGGTGGTCAGCAAGTGTCCTGGGGTTGACCAGAGGTGCCCAGAGCCAGGATCTTACAGGCGCAACCCTATTCAGGCTGGTTTTGCCTGAATAGGAAATGTCCGAGAAGGTTATTATGTCATGGCTGTTAGGAGAGAAGAGGGAGGTTTATTTTTATTTAATTTTAAAAAGTTTGTGACTGCTCATTATTCCTGGGGAATTATTTTTCACATAATAAACGTTGTGCCGTTCCCCACCCCCAAGAGAGAAACTGATTCTCAAATTTTGCACACAATCAATCAAGAAGTTGCTCCTAACCTGTATGAACTTGATGCACAGCAGCCTAGAATGCGGGACCCTACCCTGGACCACCCAGCCGCACTGAAGGGAAGCATCCCCAGCCGGGGCTGTGTCTTGAGACCGTGATAACTTGGCTCCAACAGGTGTCCAACAGCGATTTCTCAAATAAGTTGTTCCTAGTGTATTTTTTTGGAAAGAGGGTAATTTATTTATTTATTTATGCATATAAGAGCTGGGGTATGGGTGGCAAGTGGGAGTCAGGGGTGAAAGGATTCACCCGAGACAGAGCCAGGAGCAGAACAGGCAGACTGACAGAAACACACTGCCTGGGGAGCAGCGGGGAGATGAGGTCTGCTGTGCCATCTGGGTCATTCCCTGGCATGGCTGCCATAGCTTGACAGTGCTGAGCTTTAATCCCTGCACTACCAGGGAGGCCCTAGAGGTGACCCCCAGTGCACAGGCCTGACCAGCACTTTCTGCTATGCTGTGGCTGTTGCTTGCCCCACCTGCTGTCCAGGGGAAGAAAACTTCGGGCCATTTTCTCCGTCCTTTCTGACTTCCCTTGGAAACTGGCACTTTAAAGGAGGTAAGAACATTAATATTTACCAACCCTTAACTACACTCCAAGGCTGTTCTAGCCCCAGGGCCTCCCTGGTGGTGCAAGGGGTCAAACCTCAGCACTATCAAGCTATAGTTAGCCACTGTGACCTGAGCCCCACCCTGGCCAGGGAGTGACCCACAGGGCACAGCAGCCCTCTCCTGTCTCCCTGCTGCTCCCCCCCAACAGTGGACTTCGGTCCATCGGCCTGTTCTGCTCCCCATTTTGTCTCTGGTGAGTCCTCTCACCCCACCTCCCGCCTGCACCCCACTTCTTTTGTATATTCATAAATAAATGTTTTTAAAAAGGGCCCAAACTACTGCAACCCCAGCAGCTGACCCAAGTTCAAGAGCGTAGTAAGTGTCTGTGAGTAAGGTTGCTTCTCTCTGCAGGGCGGGGCTCGGCTTCTGTGACAGGTCCAGTTAATTTCTCAGATAGGCTGTATTCCTCCTGAGCTGAGGGAACAGATCTAGAATTCTACCATGAGCGCGTTAGCCACCAAAGCTAGGTCCTTGGAGTCTATGACTTTTTGTTTTCAGTTTTATAAAAATTGTACCTGCTGCTGAATACTAATTCTCAGATGATTATAGTTACTTAGGAAAGAGGGAGAAAAAAGGCAATGTTAGCACAAGTTGTGACAAGTTTAAAAATACTAAGAATACCATGGTTTCCCAGTAAGTAACTTGAGAATGGAGTTATTTTAATTGAGTCACCAAATATAGCTTCACCTTCCTAAATCTCACTGGCTACGCTGCATTCATACAGGAACACTGGGGAACACTTTCTGCCTCCCATCTTAGTATCATAAACTTATAAGCAAGGGTTTACTCTTCCAGAATTATTTTTCTGGTATTTCAACTCATTGTTTCGCTTAATTAGTATATTCTTACGCGTGCTCAGAAATTTTTGTTCTCTTCTGTCTCATTTCCATTTCCAGGGGAGGGGAAAAATGAAAATTTCTCAAAGTTGAATAGACCTCAGCCCTTGACTACTATGTGGATATGTGAATGATCATTGAGCATTAATAAATAATTTCTGAAAGAGGTACTGTCAGCTTTTCGTCTGGTGAGGAGAATGTGTACTGACGAATGAATGCTCTTGTCTCTGGTTCGTGTAAGTACAATATAAAGGTTGATCACTAACACTGTGTGCCGCACACTGAATACTTCTATTCTCAGTAGCTCACACATAATAATGAACTGCATAGTGAGAGACAGCTACGATATTCCTTAAAAAAAAAAAGTTAATATAGGGCCTACCCCGTGGCCTAGGGGTCCGATCCCTGGCCAGGGAGTGACCCACAGGGCGCAGCAGACCTGTCCTGTCTCCCCGCTGCTCCCCTCAGCAGTGGGCTTCATCCATCTGCCTGTTCTGCTCCCCACTCTGTCGCTGGCGAGTCCGCCCATCACCCCCTACCTGTGGTCTGCACCCCAGTTCTACTATTCATGCACACACAAAAAAAACACTTAGATCATTGTCATGGTTATAAAAGAGATGAAGTTTAATGATTATAAAAGAGGTGAAGTTTAATCCAGAAGTACAAGCTCTTGCTGGTCTGGCAAGTTACCCCGCACGGCCAGAGCTGCGCCAGCGCAGAGGCCCGGGCTCGGCAGCCTGCAGCTTCGTGCCCCCGCACAGGGCCTTGGGTGACGAAGCGTGGGCCTGAGTCCCCCTCAGCAGCGGCTTGCCCACTGCATGGGGGACGTGTGCATGGTGGCCAGGCCCCATCTTGACCTCATGAGATTGATGGGTTAGTATGTTATTCAAAATTCCAAACGCAGCTGACAGGTCTAAATCTGCCTGCCTTTTCCAGCCGCATTCCTTCAAGGCTGGCTTCAAATCCTGGCCTGCCGCGTCTGGGATGTTAAGAATAATCTGCTTTTTTACTCAAAAACTGAACCTTTCCACTTTGTTTTCTTTCTTGAATGCACAGATTGCATGTGTCTGGTACAGAAAGCAGGAACAACAAGCCAGCAAAACAAAAGCAACCACAGAGAGTGAACCTCACTCGTGCCGCGGCAGCCGGCGTCCCCCATAACAGGCGTGCTGGCGGGCAGGCCTGCGTCCGTCTGTGATGTGGAGGCAGCCCAGGAGGCCGCAGAGGGGCGTGGGGGGCCCCGGCAGGACACAGGACCGGCCGTGATTCTGAGCTGTGGACAGGGACCCAGAAGGCTGTGGTAGAGGGGGTGGGGGCCGGGCTCCCCCTATCAGCATCCCGCTTCCTGGCTGTGCAGGCTGTGCAGACGGTCACAGTCCGAGTGCGGCGAGCGATTGGCCACGCTCCTGGCCAGGAATGCAGTGCGGCCCTTGGCGGCCCATCTATGGGCAAGGCGGCCGGCCTGTACCTGCTGTTTCCTGCCTGAGGCCTGGGCCTCCGTGCTGCCGGGGAGACCAGATGTCTTCTCTCGGCAGGGTGAGGTGAGGGCGCCTGTGGACACCCGTTTCCTCTGGAGGCCCTGGCGACTTGGCCAGACCCAAGGGCCAGGCCAGGTCCAGGCTGCCCAGCTACGGGGCTGTGGGAGCTGGCACTGCCCACAGGTCCCAGTGCCGCTGTGAGGCTGTGAGGTGAAACAGGCTCGGGTTTCAAGCGCAAAACCCCAGCGCCCGCGGGCAGCAAAACCGTCTTTTCTAAACCCGGGCAGGACAGGACCCACTAACTTGAGGAAACAATGGCTTTGAGTGCGCTTTTCATCCGGTTCTCCGGAAAGTGAACGAAAATAAGGCCGATGCCCCCTTGGCCACCCCCCTCCCCACACACAGATCCCCCCTGTGACCTTGAGCTGCCCGCAGAGGGGAAGGGCCAGGGGAAGGGCCGTCTGTCTGCCCGAATTACTTTCCGGCTGGAGCGTTTTGTTCTCCTTACTTACTCCTGGCGCCCCGCGGATGCCCTCCCACCCCCTTTTCTGCCCGCGCCCTCCATTTCCCGATGAGGCGGCCAGCTGGCCCGCCCGGCGCTGGCGGCTCTGGGAGGGGGCGGCCGGCCTGGGAGGGCAGCGGGCTCTGCGCAGAAGTCCAGTCCACGCGAGCCGGCTGAGCGCGGGGCCGTGGGCTCCCCCGCGCCGACAGGAACGTGGCCTAACAGTCCTGCGCCCCTCGCTCGAGTCCCGAGACGTCGCCGAGTCAGTGCCCGGCCGGGCGGGCTGGCCGCGCAGCGACTGGCCGCCTCCCCGGAGCAAAGGCGGCCT